GAATTTCATATTTATACAAAGTAACAGTTTGAAACGTGAAGGGTTTTTAGTAAGTTACGCTGATGGGGATGCTGATTTGTTAATTGTTAAAACTGCAATTAAAATTGCAGAAACAGACTCAGTAACGTTAATTGGTGAGGATACAGATTTGTTAGTGCTGTTGATTTATTTATTTCCAACGGGATTTACAGGACATATCATTTAGATCTGCTTCTAAAAAATCTGGCTGATAAATGGAAAATTATCAGGTTTTGGGACATTAGAAAAACAACTTTTGTATGTGGAAAGGAAACTTGTCATTTTCTCCCCGTAATACATGCTCTGTCTGGATGTGACACTACTTCTCGGATATTTGGTATTGGAAAACCGCTGAAATTATTTTATAAATATGCTCCTTTTCGCCATCAATTTGCTGAATTTATATCAGCAATTGAAAGAGGAGATATTCAGAGAATTGGAGAAGCTTTAATGGTTGTATTATATGAACAACATTCTGTGACCAACCTTGATGTACTCAGATTTGAGTAGTTTGCATGTAAGGTAGCGTCAATCACGTCTCTTTACTTCAGGGCCAACCTCCGATGCATCTTCTTTCCACTGCCTTCGAGTTTATTATCAAACAAAGGTATTGATGGGCCGGGTGAAATTCTAAATCCACTTGATTTCGGTTAGTGTATCGAAGATTGTTTAATTGTTCCAATTAAAACATCACTGCCACCTGCTCAATCGTTACAATTAAAACATCACTGCCACTTGCTCCAGAGAAATTGCTTAAAGTAATACGCTGCAAATGCAAAACGAACTGTGATACTAAAAAATTCACATATGGATTACAATGTTCTAATGTGTGTGGAGATTGTAAAGGTACATTGTGTTCAAATACACTGACACTGGTAGATTTTCAGGAAACAGACGACGATAAAATGAGAATAAATTACAAATACGTGGTAAATTTTCTATAACATAGTATTTATAGAACAAATTTTCACATGACTGTGTATGTTTCATTTACTGCGGTAAATGCTCTTTCCTTTTACCTGATTTTTATGTAGAACATCTGTTATAAACAGCGATCATATGCACGGATTTAATGAAAAACAATTTGTTTAACAAAAACTTGTCAAACACGTATAAAAACAATGTGAAAATTTGCTTGTACTGAATGTATGATTTTTGTATTATGTCTATTGCAATTAATTCTAAATTATAGCAGTCATTCAATATACATTGCGTTGCTTTCATGCAACAACAGTATGTACGTTAGCTATTGGGAAAATGTGAACATGTACTGTTTGTGTGATTTTTATTATCTATCGAAGTATTGTTTTAGTGTACTTGGCTGTCCTTAAAGTTGTTATCTTACTGATAAATTTGTCATTATTTGAGCAAATCTCTTTTTCAATAGAAAGTGGGTGGGGTAACTATTTAGCGTCATATTTGTAATATACTAGTGACTATGCAATGTTCACTTACAACAATGTGCTAAAATATAATTCTTTTGCGTTTTAAGTTGTTTTTGTTGAAAATATATTACATTAAAAGATTTTTACATAGAAAAGTCATTGCCTTATTATTGAAGATAATTTTAAAGTACAAAATTACATCCTATAATTGAAAGGTCATCATTGAAAAACGGCATGAGAAACAAAGGAGGACTTTTTTATGATTGTACACATATTACTGTACAAAAAAAAAAACATCAAGATAAATTCTGTTGCAATTATGTCTAGGTTGACTCCATATTTTTGTCTCTTTGATTAGCCTAATACACAGCAACCAGGTTTAACATTTGAAATATGATACACTTTAGTGTAGCGCTGTCGTTGTAATAAAAAACTATAAACAGTGAAACTGTACGATTATCTTGACACGTTGCCCTTGCCTTGTTGATCTTCATTCTTGTTTTTGAGGACATATACATTATATTATGTAAACAACACCAACGTTTTGTTGGGTTTCTCGTCGCAAAGTATGGGTCATATGGTTACTTTTACTGACGAAGGAAGACCTCAGGTGCCCCTCAATTAGGTGCTTGCGTAGATTCATAGCACTACAAGGACTACCATAGAATGACTATAACAACTGCTCAAATTTGATTATGCTTTAAATAAAATATCAGACTATTATCTAAGATATGACATACATAAAGAATTGACCAAAGTATCATACATATATAACTTATAGGCACTGAAAGCATCAGAAATCAGATAATAATGTTACTTAATCTTTCTTAGGATTAGATAAAATAAAGGTATTCATTCTCTTGACAATTTGGGGGATCGTCGGGGATATTCTTTATGTTGGATTGTTTTCTGGCAAAATATTGTTAGTTTACCTTTGGTGGATTTTTTTTGTTTGGTAGACTTTGATATTTTGTTGGTAAAGTAGAACAGTGTAAAAATTATGGAGGCTATTCGTTGTCAAAAATCCAGCCTTGTTGATCTAAGTTGAACAGTTTGTTTACGGACAAAATACAATTGTATCTCTTTGTATGTATACTCCAATGTTGCATTCTTGGATTGAGTTTGCCGATTTAACAATGTAAACATGTATTTCAACAAAATACATTTTGTTTAACGACAAAACATTAACTATTTTTTAGATAGTAGCAATACCAAGTGTTCATCATAACATGCGGAATACTCATTGTTCGTGTATATGCCGACAAAACAGAAGTTACTTTCTTAGCTTTACATTGTCAAACCATCATGATTCGGATCAGCATAATCCAGCTTATCACGTTTTCAATAGGAGATAAAATAAGCTCCGTCCATATTCCCGCCCACTACATCATCGTAAATAAACGCATTTATCCGCTCATTTTCGGTATCAAGAAGGAAACAAGAACATTCCGTTTACCACACCTTTTAGGTGTTTAGTTATTCACCAAACATAATTCACTTGCATGGATGCTATTCTATAACTTTATTCAATCAACATCAGCAGGTTTTAAATGATTATAGGAATATAAGTTTTGAAACGTTGTATAGATACCACATTTTCTAGAAAAAGAAACTAAAAAAACTCACCATGTTACTTACTGTCTGAGGTTAAATATTTTTTAAGGAAGTAAAAACTATTGATAAGACTATATACAACGACAAATAAATTTTACTGAGGGGATTCCAATTTGCATAGGAATGAGTAACATTGACAGTAAAGCTGCTACCTTACCACTTCAAATTTTCATTTCAACATCTGATAGAGATTTTGATACGACTAAATCCTAATACAGACCAAATTCTGGCTATTGTCCTTTCTAGTAATAGCGTTTACTATTACATTAGTAACCTTTACTCTAGCGCCATGACTTGATAAGAATAAACTTTTAACAATAATAAAATTAACACCAAAGTTGTATGTACCATTTCGTACATTTCTTTTAATTTTTACCATACTGTATAGATATATTTTCTAATTTGTTCCATTTTTTTTTCAATAATAATATTTAAATGAGTCCAAAGGTAAAAATGTATGTTGATTATCAATTAATGTATACCTTGTTTCTTTTATCTCTAAGAAAGCTATCATGTATAAAACTTAATAAATATTCTGTGTAGAATTTTATGTACATAAAAATAGTTCTCTGCTTTTGATCAGATAGACAGCAAGTCTAGGTAACAACTATTGACAGCATGGATACACAGATTTTAGAGCTGTTATTGATTCAGTTCAATGCGTAAAAGAACACGTTAACCTACGTCAGTTTGGTGCCTTCTGGGTGCCCTTCTTGGGTGTGTCGGGGGCTACGTCCTGTGAACGTTGCCTTTGCTTTGTTGATCTTTATTCTTGTCTTTTACATATATTTAATAATAAAAGGCTAAAATGCAGTTGATGTATGTGAAAATTATAACAGTTTTATATAATTTGAAATATTTTTGGACCAGCAAGTGTTTCCTCTCTTTATATTCTACTTTCGTGAAAATTGGCTCCGCCTATTAATTTTCGTCTATTTCCGTGATAATTCCATATATGGAAGTTGCAAAATCGTTTACAAATGTTAATCGCATTAAAATGTAAAAAAAATGTGGTGTTGTCAACCTGATACTGTCAACTAATGCAGTAACATTCTCAACGTCATGATGTACAGCATTCATCGTGTTGTGTACGTTCTATCGTTTACATTTCTACATGTCGCAAATTTGAAGTTTACATTTCTAAATACAGTTTGCAATTTATCTAAGCTGCATGTTAACATCTTCCATTTTATCAAATCGAGATAATCAAAATGCTTAATACCAGTGCAGTAGGTAACTCTCAGATCGACAATCAGCGTTTTACTAATCTGTTCAGTAGAACCGAAGTATGCATTGTCAAGTTTCAAAGGCTGATTTTTTGGCAACGAGTAGCCTACATAAAAAAAGCTGTTAAGCGTAAAGATCTTGTTTATTTGATAAACTTGTGTGTAGTATAAAAGTTTAACTATAACGTATTGAATTTTTAAGCAAATTGAAGATTAAACGGTGTTTTATATCAAGCGGTTTAGTTGAGACATAAGTTAGTTTTAAAAGATCAATTTGTTAATTATTTATACCAGTGATAAAGATATAGTTTGTAATTTGTTAAAGGTGACATCATTAATTGATAAAGTTTATACCAGTGAACAGTGGTTGATTAGCCATAAAAGTGTAAGTAATAGTTGAATAAAGAATTGTTTTTTTTCTCTGGTGCCCTGTTGGTAATTTTTTTAAAAGTGTTGACATCATAGTTGAATATTTGGAAAACGTATTGCCGGTGCCCATCAGGTGACATTGTTATATAGAAATAAGATTAGACTATACAATTGTCGGTGCTACAGAGCTACCATGGCGGTAAATAAAAATTTAGAACTCCTATTTCAAGTTAAAAGTCATCCCTTTTTATTACAATTCAACATAGATATTCTCGTATGATTTTTCCTATCTAGATTTGAATATTTATAAAAGACAATATAGTTTCATCTAAACTAGTTTATACATAGCTGTACTTGATGAATGGTCAAAGGAAATAATAAAAAATACCTGTTTTGTTGTGTACATCCATTTTATCGCGTTGCTATTAATGTGTTTTATACACTATGTAAAAAATATGACTTATGTAGTCATGTCTTTCGGGTTGCGCTGTAAAACTTTAGTATTCCCCTTCTTACTGACCGAATTAAATTGAAAACAATAGTCACTATAGCTGAACTAGACTGCACTAGTCGATCTAGCGGAACCAGAGTGACGTCACGGTAAGCCTAAAATACGAAAGTGACTTGTTTGACGAAAGTGAGCGAAAGTGACTTAAAATATGAATTATAGCGATTTAAAAGACTTTGACAATAAAATTGCAGGTTGTACACGTATATTATCAGAAATTGATTATATTTGTTATCGAAAATAATCATTATGATAATTTAATCGCTAATCACATCACTGGCATAATTTCTATACACAAGTTTTGAGATCTTCCTTTCACTTAAATTGAAAAATGACTTATTAAATATACTGTTTAAATTGAACATTTTACTATTAATGCACTAAGCAGACGTTTATTATCAGAAATTGATAATATTTGTTTAAAAAAAATAATCATTATGATAATTAAAAAGTGGGCAATAGAAAATGGTTTTAAATTTTCAAAATCAAAAACTCAATGTGTTCATTTTTCTCGATTGCGGGAACACCATAATGACCCTGAACTTTACATATCTGGTTCTAAAATTCCAGTAGTTGATGAAGCTTAGTTTTTAGGAATTATATTTGGTAAAAAATTTCTTTTATACCACATATTAAACATTTGAAAACTAATTGCCTAAAAGCTTTAAATTTACTAAAGGTTTTATCAAGTACAAATTTGGGATCAAATTCTTCCACATTACTAAAATTATACAGAAGTCTTATCCGATCAAAATTAGATTATGGTTCTGTAGTATATTGGTCTGCAAGAAAATCATATCTTCAAATGCTGGATACCATATCACCAGGGTTTACGTTTAGCTTTAGGTGCTTTTCGCACCTCACCTGTAGAAGCATTAAAATTAAAACTGGGGTATGATATTGTTGAATTGAAAGTTGGAGGTGTATGACAATTTCTCTGCGTTCTTTTTCACTGTGTACATAAATTTTGTTTCAGCGTTTACATCCCAAGTCAGCTGATGAGTTGAAACAGAAACTAAGTGGACCTGGTAAAAAGTTTCATGTCACAGAAGATACAAATGTTCCTATTGACCAGTTATTGAAAAAGCCTCAAGAAAAGACCAAGAAATATGACAAAAATGATCATCGCCAAGTTAAAAGCACTGAGGCATTATTGATGTTCATTTCTTGAGGCCCACATGGAAGATTGGGAAACCAAATGTGTAGCCTCATTAAATAAAGACTTTACTTACTTACTTACTTACTTACTTACTATTCCTGGTGATTTGATGTAGAAAGTGATGAATTTCTCTAACTGAACAGTATGATCCAAAATACCAAATGCCATCAAGAAAACATCTGTCGGGAAAATTTCTTCATGACAAATCTGTTGAAATTGTGTCCAATTTGAAACATAAGATAAGTTTGGCAATGTGTGTGTGTCTGACCATTGATATCTGGACTAACAGACAAATGTGCTCATTCTTGGGTATAACAGGTCACTTTATATTGGATCAGACTTATAAATCAGTGCTTATTGGCTGCAGAAAATTAGCAAAAGTATATTTGGCTGTTCTGCATCATCTGCAGAATCAGAGCGAGTATTCAGCATTGCTGGAAAAATCTTTACTCCTACGAGGTGCCTCCTGAAACCAAAAACATTTGAAAAACTAATGAACATTAAATGTAATATGAGAATATAGCTTAGTAAATAGGAGGCAACACATGTACATATGTAGACTGAATTATTTACTGTAAAACTAAGCTGGAAATTTTTTTGTACATTTGTTGTATTGAAACGTTCAATAAAACGATAGTGTTGAACCATTGCATTTCTTAACTTATGTACATGTAATCAGTAATCATAAATGTAATCTGATTACTCCTGTCAGTAATCAGTAATTTAATTAATTACAATGTCAAAATGGAGTAATCAGTAATTTAATTTAATCAAGCATTTTGACAAATTATCATAATTTAACCGATTACAATTGTCAAGTAATCGCCCCACGTCTGGTAGAAAGTGTATATGCGGAAGCTGGGGAACTATCGCTTCATCTTCGTCGAAAAAAGCTATCACTTCAATATGCAACTAGAATTTCATCTAATAGCAAAAATCCAGCTAAAATATTATTTTCAAACCAAGTTATACTGAAAAAATTGTTAACAAACCAAAGGGAATTAAACCATTAGGCTTTCGTTTGAAAGATGATTTAGATAAACTTAAAATTAATCCCGACAGTATCCTTCAAAATGACGACGTGGATGTTCCACCTTGGACTTATAATTCCCCGAAAATCGATATTTACATTTCAAATATAAAAAAGTCATCAAATTCACCTGAACATTTCAAAGAGAAGTTTTTAGCAATTAAGGAAGAACATGAAGATTTTACACATATTTATACGGACGGTTCAAAAGAAGGTTGAAAAGTACCGGCTGTGTTTGAAAATAATTTTACATCTAGTATGAGGTTACCAGATAATGCATCAACTTTTACTGCTGAAGCAAAAGCTTTAGATTTATCATTGTCATACATGATACAGCATACCCATGATAAATTTGTGATATTTTCTGACTCGCTTTCTGTTTTAATATCCATTAAAAAATAAAAAAATTGTGACAATATCATGATAAGGAAACTTCTTTTACGATTTCATGATATACTATAAACAAAGTCTGTTAAATTATATTGGATTCGAAGTCATGTAGGTATACGAGGAAATAAAAAAGTAGATGCTTTAGCTAAACAATCATTAAGTTTTCAAAAAAACTGACTTATTGTTACCTGCTTGTGATTTTAGACCGGCTATAACTAAACTTGTATCATCTGAATGGAAAGCAAATTGGGACAATGCCATTTTAATAGACTTAAAGCTTTTTCTTCTTGTCTATGAATGTCATGATTTTTCACAGGCCCGTGTATTGTGTAAATTCACTCAAAGAACTCTTTAATACAATTCCATCAAAAAATATCATTGATTATTTGAAAGAGATAAACTTGTATTTTAGGATCTAATTGGCTCATTTTTATTGTCGTTTACAAAGTTTACTACAACATTGTCAATAGAATATGAAAATATCTGAGGTGGTATGCAAACATAAATCTTAATTCTAAGTTGAAAAAGGGGCATTATTCTGCCAAATGCTTCATGCTTCCTGCTTTTGGTGTTACAAAAACTTTATCGAAAATTCTAAGTCGAAAAATGGGCATTATTCTGTCAAAATGCTTGATACAATAGCCTCCTCATGTCTACAGGTTGGGGTCATGATGGTGAACAAGTGTGGAACGTTTCAATTTGTTTGTTTGTTTGTTTCATTTTACGCCTTTTCCCAACAGTATTTCAGTTATATAGGTGGGTAGTTTCCTAACCATCGTTCCTGGAAAATTACACCAGTACTAGACTACTTTCCTCCTTGCTGAACTACCAAAGCATCTCCCGGGGATCGAACCCACGCCAGAGAGGTAACTGGATTAGAAGTCATCGAAGCTAACCCCTCGACCACTGAGGCGAAGCCATATGTCAATGGACTTTGAAAAATATTTGAGGTATTACAAAAACTTTAACGTAAGTGGTTACGCCGACGCCGACGCTCGGGTGACTACAATAGCTCTACTAATTCTTATCGAATAATCGAGCGAAATTGATAAAATTAGAGAATCCCAAAAGAAAGCCTAACACGGCAAATTTAAAGTGTTGCAGACTCGGTCTGATGGAGCCTGTTCATGGACTGTACCGTCAAGTGCAAACCACCGTCCAAGCACCCCAGCACCGGATTAAGTAGAATTCAACATTTAACATGAACTGGTACAATTTTGAATTTTGAAACATCCGCAGATTTGTTCATATGGCGGTTATCATGGAACCTTCAATGTAACACATAAGTGCCATTCCTTAGAAAGCGGCATATGGTCCCAAAGTAAAAACATGCGTGTGCCCTAAACGAGAAAACAATTGGCGGAACTGAAGAAAATGGATTTTGAAAGGGGATCAGAGGTTATGAAGCCTGCATTTCACAGATAAGACGTCAAAAGACAAATTTCAAAAGCAGGCCACAAATCCTAGGGTTGTTCAACAGTATTCAAGTGAGAAATAAGCATTACTCAAATGTATTGGAACCAATACACCCCACTATTTGTTAACAGATTATGATAAAGGGTGATCCGTCGCAAGCATTAATCACAACAAAAATACATGAAAATGCAGACTTTTTTCTATTCGGCTATTTCTTGTTGGGTGGTTCCAGTTTTCGGAACCTTCAATGTAACACATAAGTGTCATTCCATAGAAAGCGGCATATGGTCCCAAAGTAAAAACATGCGTGTGCCCTAAACGAGAAAACAATGGGCGGAACTGAAGAAAATGGAATTTTGAAAGGGGATCAGAGGTTATGAAGCCTGCATTTCACAGATAAGACGTCTAAAGACAAATTTCAAAAGCAGGCCACACATCCTAGGGTTGTTCAACAGTATTCAAGTGAGAAATAAGCATTTCTCAAACGTATTGGAACCAATACACCCCACTATTTGTTAAAAGATTATGATAAAGGGTGATCCGTCGCAAGCATTAATCACAACAAAAATACATGAAAATGCAGACTTTTTTCTATTCGGCTATTTCTTGTTGGGTGGTTCCAGTTTTCCTTATTGATTACGAACAGTTGTATGTACAATCATTAAATAGCTTCAAACTGCTTCCGTGTTTTTCTTCAAGTTTTCTTGTTCAAGTCATATTTTGGTCGTCTTTGTCACAGACTGAATATGTTGCACCTTAGCCCGACAAACTGTTCGCTTTAGGGCTTTTTAGTATATAGACGATGGTCGCCCTTTGCTACTTGTGTATGTGCCAGCGACCAGAAACTCGTCGCTAACTTTGACGGCTTAAACTCAATATTTCTTCCTGCATAGCTTATTCATGGCAGAAACAATTTAAGAGAAAATTCATGAGACAGTTTTATGTTCTTATAAATTCCTACACATGTCAACGTTTTGTTTTGTTTTACACCGCTAAAACTCTACCTAACAGTAGTTTATCGATAAATCTCACTAGCATGAAGTATGTGC